GCGCCCCTCGCCCTCGGCGCCTCCTGCCGCCGCCGCCGCCGCGGTCCCTCCCCCGTCACCTCCGAAAGGGGAATTTTCCAGCTGGTAATTTCTGCTGCGTCAACGCCCGGCCCCAGGAGGCAGCCCGGGGGCGTCCTGGCGCCCCCCGCCCGCTCCGCCCCGCGCGCCCCCCGCCCGCGCCTGCGAGCCGCACCCGGACCCGCCCGCGCCGAGTTTGCCAGGAGTCTGAACTGCGGGAGGTGGGCGCGGCGGCTCCCCGCACCCCGCCGGGCCTTGGGGGTCATTGTCTCCCCCTGAAGCCGGGCACCGGCCTCGTCTCCATTTTAATTACTGGCTGAACCTGGGCGCAGGGGCCTCGAGGCCGGGTGGCTAGAGAAGCGCGGAGGGGACGGGGCGCGCAGAGCGGACGGGGCGCGCGGAGGGAGCGGGGTCCGCCGCGAGCAGCGTCTTTGTTTCTCTGTAAATAGACATGTCAGTTTCACAGGGTAGCAAGAGTCACTGTCTGACAACTCAATCCCGATGGCAAATGGGGGATTTTCTGCACCAGGAGGAGGGTTCTGGCTAGTTGGGGTTCCTCCATCCCTGCTAACAAATTCACTATTTGTAGGTTTAACGGAGCACGCACAATAGGGCTGGACGGAGGAGCCTGGGTACAAACCAAATGGGCGAAGAACTGATATTTTCTGACACCGAGGAAATACAAACAAAAGAAAGTTTGACCGAGATTCGCAGCGAATTTCCTCACGCTTTCCGTGCTCCAATCTCAGCGACGCGTTTGTCGTGGATTGCGGAGGCAAGATTGTTATCAGCATTGTTTACAGAAATGCTAATTAGGCAACGGGTTTAGCGAACCCGGCTGGGCGCAGACACCTGTGCGGAGTCCTCGCGTGCGTTTTAATTGTATCGGTTGTAGAATCTTTCATACTGGATTTATCATCAAAGCTAACTTCCCTTTTGGGTAGCAGACTGTGGATTCACTCTGTCGCTGGCCTGCGTGCTGCCTGTGAAAGCAGTGTTTCCACTCTGCAGGAGTGGGAAATAGTTTGTTCCCCAAAGGCAAATTTACAGAAGGGTTTTTCACATGAATAATGAAGTAAACAACAGCATTTTATCATAGTGGACTCCTTCCTTCTCCTTGCTATATTTCATGGTAGTTTTAGGTGCTGTGAACTGGAAACTTTGGGACACCTTGCTATTACAGAAAGGACTAAACGAGGGGCGTACTGAGGCAGAAGTTACTGGATTTAAGTAGGAACTTAGACACTGTGTTCCCCTAAAAAGCTAGTAATTATTTTTATATCCTTTCCTGAAGGGAAGGAGGTGTGTGTGTGGAGTTTGCTCTGAGAGTTCTCTTTAGGGAGTGGTGGAATGGACGCATTTAGGCTAAACCCAAAATTCAGCCTTCCTGGAGGCCAGCCTCCGGACAGGATTTCATTAGGCCTCATTGACATCACGCTGCATGAAAGAATTTTGTTTTGATGAGATCAGTTCTGTTCAGGTTTAGCTGTTTCGTGTTTGAAAATGAGCTGTTTTTCCACGTCCAGTTTCTGATGTTCAGGACTGGCGGACTGTTGGCTGCAGGGGCTCTTGGGCGCTCTGTGTCCCTGCTCGGTCACCCAGGGCAGGGGGCCACCGGCCTCTCCTTGGTCACACATTAGCACAGGAAGGTGAGGTCGACCCTGAGAATGGGTGAGACTCCTCCGGGGACCTGGAAGGACACCCTTTTACAGTCAGAAGATGTGTTATTTGCAAACACGTTAAACCAAATATTAACAAACTTTCCAACACTGTCCTTATGTGGGGTTTTTCAAATTAAGGGAAACTGGGCCACTGTGTCCCTGTGGTCTGTGTTTCTGGGGCAGCTGTGCTTCTGCTCTGCTCTCTACCAGAGGTCCTGGACCAGCTGAGGACAGCCCAGCAGAGCATCTTCAGCAGAGGCTCCTCGAGCCGTGAACTTGAACTCATTCCTCATTTTGCTGGTGCTTCACGTGCCCAGGTGCCCTCCTGGCCTGTGTTGAAGTGGGCGGAGAGTTCTTGTGCCCCGTTCTGGGGGCTTCATGTTCTCATAAAAACGGAGGCTTTTTCTCCTCTCTGATTGAACGTATTCTACTTTGAAATCGGTTGAGTGATGGTAGGTTGTCAAGAATTCCCTTGTGAATCTGCTCCCTCCCCTGAACAAAAGAGATTCTTCTTCTTGCCACAAGTGTGCTTGAATGGCCTAACTCCCAAGAATACACAGATGATTGAAAAATCGCTACTGAGGCCACAAGACTCATTTCGGTCTTTGCAATACGGTTGTCTTGTTCTGATCCTGGCTCTCGTGTCCTCTGCTCTTGGCTCCGGCTCTGGTGTGACCAGTGCAGCTGTGGGGTCTTCAACCGTGGGATCGTTTCTGCCTTTCTAGCTTCAGTACTTTGTGCGCCTGACACGTGCGTCCCCGGGCTTCGTGTTCTGGTTTGCTGACGATGACAGAACACGTCCTCTGGTTCTGCTCGTAGACGGAGAAGTCATGGAAAAGAAAAATAACTGTTTCTAACAGACTGAAAAGTTGTTCTAGTAAAGGATAAGGACAAGCTAGACCAGTCAGATCCGACCTTAGGGTGATTTATGCGAAGTTTCCCCTTCCGTATCTCTCAACAGTGCCTTTAACTCTTACTAGATTTTTAAATGACTAAGTATTTTTAAATGCCATTATTTGGATTTAAACAATTAGCGACCCAGGCACTTTAGAAAGTTGAGAAACAATGTTAACATATTTTTCAACAGCATTTACGGGGAGGGGGTTGTGTTTTGACAGGTGTGTTTTTTGAGTCATGTTAGACATTCCCAGAGTTTCTTACTCATGACGAGTTTTGGCCTTGTCGAGGGCTTGCTGTGGACCAGCCTTCAGGCAAGGTTGGGGACAGAGTTCCCACGGAGGGGCCGGAGACCCGCTGGGAAGGGCGGGGGGGGGCGGGAGCCTACAGGAACCACTGATGGGACCTGATGTGGTGACAGATGCTAGTGAGAGCTCGGAGCAGCACGGGGTGTAGCCCACCTGGTGGGCTCTCTAAAGACTCTTGGAGGGAAAGGGTGTCTGTGCTGACACCTCCCCCGCCCCTGATGGGCCCATGGCGCCAGCCTCCGGTTCCAGTACGTGTGCAGCAAATTCTGTTCTAACTTCTGCTTTGCCAAGAGTGGGTAGCCAGTGAGAGGGCAGGACTCTTGGGGCCAGGCAGCTTTTGGGGGCTGATTGGCTGTCGGGATGGGGGCGAGAGGTGGTGTCGTTTCAAATGACGTCTTCCAAAGCCCATGTTTCAGCACAGGAATCTCTTCCTGAACATCCATGCCCACAGACCACCCTTCGTCTCGGGGAAGCTGTCCTTTTCCTGGCCCCCAAGTGGCACCCCAGCCCTGCTTGTCCGAGTGGACCAGCTGTGCAGCCCTCTCCTGAAAAGATCCGCATTTGTGTATGAAAACCCTCCCGTCAGTGCCGCGTGGTGGCCTGAGGCCCCGCGTCAGACCCCTTCTGTGTAGAGCAGAAAGAAGGCACCTCTGTGTCTTGGGCCGCGAATGGACGGTTCGAGAATGTCAAGCACCCAGAGCTGCCTCTGTGAAGGTGCACACACGTGGGCGGCACGGCCCGGCGGCTTGTCACCCTCTGAGCGTGTGTCACTTGGCGCGAGGAGGGTCTGACCTGTGTTCTGCGGCCGCTCTGAACGCTGTCCCGCGGCTGAGCCTGGGGCCGGAGAGCACAGCCAGGACTGTCGCTCAGCAGAAGACGAACGCTCCAGACCCAGCGCTCACCGGCCTGCACTCCGGACAGACTCCCAGGGCTCATCCGCCCCCAGTCACAGAGGTGGCTGCACCGAGTTACACGGGGATGGTGTGGGCGTGCACGCAGACAGGAGGGCTTTCTGGAAGCACACTCACGGGACCCACTCTGGGCCCGCTGGGCGAGGGAAGGCACCGGGGCTCTGTGTGCACTGGAGAGTTGGTTACAGTGAGAGGGTGGACAGGGCTACGGAAAAGCCACCAGGAGGGTGGCCCAGAAGAACCGGCAGGGGGAGGGTGAGTGTCAGGCGTGCTGCAGACTCGGGGGGAGGTCCAGGTCGCCTGGGGGAGCTCAAGGGTGTGGGGCAAGTGGGCAGCGCATCCGCCTCTGGTGTGAGCGGGTCAGGCAGGCGCCTAGAATGGGCCTTCGCGTACTGCTGTGGCCCCATCCAAGTCTGAAGCAGGTTTATTTTGTTTTCTCATCCCATCCCATCCAGAGTAATGTCGCTTCTGAACAGCAGTTTCCTTTTCCTTAGGAGGTTCAAAGACAGCTCAGAAAGGACTCTGCTTCCTTCGGGGGCAGGAGGGAGCCGGCTCCTCGGGGAGCACTCCCAGAATCGCGGGGCCACTGGCTGCTCAGCCCAGGTCCCCGCCGTCCAGTCCCTGGGCCAGCGATGTCCGCTGTGCCCCAGACGAGGTTGAGTCACAGACATCTGATGTTCAGAGTCACACACACAGGCGGCCGTCGCCCCTTCTAGGGAGCCAGGCACCTTGGCCTAGGACCCGCCCTGACCCCTGGCCTCTAAAGAAGCCTCCCATCTGCGCTTGAAACCCGGTCCTTCCCGGCAGCCCTGGGGCGGCCGGCTCCGTGGCCCACGCCCCGTCTCACACAGAAAGTGGAGCAGGCTGGCCAGCCGGAAGTAATGGTGTTTTTCCATTGCCTCTGGTGATATAGAAACATTGTTATTTCATCGCTTTCATTTTATATGAAGACTTTCTCCCCTCAACCTCAGAGTGTTTTGAAGAACTTTTCAGAAGTTCAGGGACCACGTATCATGACAGGCTCACTAGGCACCTGAAGAAAGTGGGTCTTTAATATTGGGTACCTTGACCTTTCCTATTTTTTTCTTTTTCTTTTTTTTGGCCACACCACGCAGCTTGCGGGGATCTTAGTTCCCTGACCAGGGATTGAACCTGTGCCCTTGGCAGTGAAAGCACAGAGTCCTAACCACTGGACCACCAGGGAATTCCCCCTATTTTTTTCTTACGTTGTTGGCAGAATGAGACCAGAACAAGGAGTGACAAGGTGACAGTGTCCTTGGACATCCCTTACCATTAGAGTCACTGAGCTCCACTGGACAGTGTGATACACACTTGGCTGTGGATGGGTGGTCTTTTAAATCTCTTTCCTTCTCTTCTCTGGTCTGGCTTCTCCATCACCTGCTGCTTTTGATTCCTTTGTGGGGTGGAAATCCCACCTGCCTGGACCCGGCAGCAGAGGGAGGGTAGAAGTCTCCAATGGTGGCAGTACCACGTGGCTGCGGGGACCGTGGTTCCTCTGTGATGAGCGGGGGGCTCAGGATGCCGCGGAGCTGGGAGCACTTCCGGGTGTGTGAGTGCCCTTGAGGGCCCGAGAAGCAGGTCGGGAAGTGTTAGTGCCAGGGGACCCGCCTTCGCTGTGGCCGGCAGATCTGCTCCATTGAGGCACAGGTGGTCCTTCAAAGACGGGGTGTCTTCCCCTGAGATCAGCAGACTCACGGAGCCTTGGAGAAGCAATGCAGGGCGAGCGCCAGCTCTCGAGCTCACCCGATGCAGCCCGTGGGTCACACCGTCCTCACATTGACTTAACATTTCTTTTGCCTCGTCTTAAGAAGCAAGAATACCCGTGAAGTCGTGAGTTTGGTATCTCAGTTATATTTTACTTGGTGCACACTGAAACGGACATGTAACTGTTAGGATAGACAATGATTTGTCCCTTCTCCTGCTGGCAGGGAACGTGTACTCCCCATATCCCCTCAGCCGCTCACTGGGAGGGGACCAGCACCCTGGCCCAGGGTCCAGGGATGAGACTGGACTGTGTGGATCTTAGGTGGGAACCCCTCATGCCCCATCTCAGAGGCCTTTCCTACCGTCTGACCGGGGAGCAGTTGGTGTAAGTTAGGCTGCTGTTTAAATGCGTTCCCTGGGGCTGTCAGAGCACAGGACCACCAACCTGGCAGCTTGAAACAATAGAGCTTTATTCTCTCACAGTCTGGAGGCCAGAAGTCCTAAATCAAGGTGCGGGCAGGGCCACCCTCTCTCTGGAGGCTCCAGGGAAGGACGCTTCCTGCCTCTTCTAGTCTCTGGCGGCTCCTGGCAGTCCTGGGTGCTCATGGCCAAGACACATCCCTCCTACCTCCTGTCCTGTTCTCATGGCCTTCACCCTGGTGTCCAAATTTCCCTCTCCTTATAAGGACACCAGTCACGCTGAATTGGAGTCCACCGTAATGACCTAATCTTAACTCTGTTACATCTGCAAAGACCCTCTTTCCAAATGAGGTTACATGCCCCTGCAGTTAGGACTTGAACATATCTTTTGGGGGGACGTGATTCAACCCACTACACCGTTACAGCTTGTATTTGCCTGACACATTACCCCATACATTTCTCAATCCCAGCGTTTCCTGAGGCCTCTTCGTGTGTCTCCAGCTGTCACCTCTCACTCCTGCCCTTCCCTTGCTGGTAGAGCAGACGTGGCCAGTGACAACGGTATTGGTGAGTTCACCCTGCGGACCTGCGCTCACCCCAACGCCTGCGGCAAGCCGGGCTCTTGGACCAGGGACACGGCAGCCAACAAGGTCCTCGCTCTGCTTCCCAGAGGGGAAGGGACAGGGCAGACAGATGTCGACACCTGCCACGGAGAGGGATGCGGCAGGGCCCAGAGGGAGGGCATGGGGCGGGGAGCAGAGGCAGAGCCCAGGGTCCCCAACGGGGCCACTGGAGTGGGTACTGGCTGCCGCCGCTCCAAAGCAGGACCCAGCCCCTCCTCTGGACCCCTCTGCATGGCTGGATACCCGTGTGCCCGTCTGCCCCCCCAGGCCGGACCCAGGCCTTTCTCGCCCCCAGGCAGCTGGTGAGGCTCGTGGCCCGTTTTCTGGATGGTGTTTTTATTGCTTCCTGTGGGAGACACTGGAAAACGAAGTGTAGCAGCTGTTGGAACGTGGTGTTCACGATCTAGAAAACTTCCTTCCATGCTGTGGTAACAGGCGGAGCCTCATGTACCATCAAGTAAGGCTGTCAAGTGGCGGGTCTGAAAGCCCTGGTTCTTACAGTGGTGACTGTGGAGGTGCCCCATGGTGACCAGCGGCCGTGGTTGTGGACAGGGCTGTTGTCCCTGGCGTGTCCTCCACGTTCACGGGCGAAGTCCCTCTACGGTGGGTCCCAAGGTCACCAGGAGCCTGGGGGCCCCACAACCTTGGGAGGCCAGGGTCCTTGCTGTCACTTCGGTTGACCCTCACGGTCACCCCCTGAATGAGGACCCTCGCCTGCTGGGGTGGGACGGGGCGGGTTGCACTTGGGGTGGCGCCTCTGAGATCTTTATTCTGTTTTGTGCTGTTTGTTGAAAAATCGGAGCTGTTGATCCCACGTGGTGGTCTGGCTGGTGGCATCCTCTGACCGTCAGGAGCCCTGCCCTGTTATCCCGTGAGGGGTCATAGGGCCAGGCGAGGGGGACCCATGTGTCCGGTACTCAGGGTCCAAAGTGTGACGGTGACGTCTGCATCAGAATTTCTGACTTAAAAACGAATCATTTTCATATTTGCTGCCTGCTGTGAAAGATACTTGTACCTTTTGTTAAGGAGATGTATATGTTTGGGGTTTTTATCTTTTTCTTTTTTTTTGGTTGTGCTGCAAGGCAGTCGGATCTTAGTTCCCCGACCAGGGATCGAACCCGTGCCCCCTGCGTTCGAAGCACAGAGTCCTGACCACTGGACGGCCAGGGAAGTCCCAAGGAGATGTATATGGAATTTTCAAGATAATTATCACCTATATAAGTTTTTTTTGAAAAATTCTAGATTTGCCATTGGTTACTAAAGTATAGGAACATCTTGGAATTTTTTTTAACATAATTTGTTTGGCAAGATTATTCCTTTCGAATATTTTAATGTTTGTTTGGAGCCATGAGCTATTTTTACCTTAGTTTTTTCCCAGGTAAGTCATTTTTATCCCTGGGTAAAAACCACTCCTGGGTCTGAAGTGTGTGAGCTGGCCCCCCTAGAGCAGTGGCAGCTCATGAAATAGGTGTATGGATGGGTGATGGGAGCTTGAGTCTAGAATTTCTGTCTCATGAGGAAGACACTGGGATTTTGGCCGAGCTGGTGAGGGAAGTGGGGTCTGCTCATGGTCGTGGCCCGGTTTCCCAAGTCCTGAGAAGGTGAGGTTCTCGGATGTGTTCCTGTCCGCCGCCTGGACCCTGATAGCAGCCAGCACAGAATCGTGCCGGGGCAGCCCCGGCCCCAGAGGATGACACGGTGGGTCCCTGCAGGGCCGTCCCCAGCGTGTGCTTACCGGCCGGCGGGTGTGTCCAAGTGGTCATGCGTCCAGCTCAAGGTCCTGGTGGGAAATGTCACATGGCTGCCACCCCCCTTCCTGGAGTCACTCAGCAATGTCACCGTATTTAAGGGGACCTACAAGGCAGCTCAGCACGCCTGGCCACTGTCTCCTGAGCCTGCGCCTTCCTCCAGGCTCCCAGGAAATACTGGAGAAAGCGCTGGTTGTACTCAGGGCGCCAGCGAGGGGTTCCTTCTGCTCCTCGGAAGTCGGGGCTGGGAGCAGGAGGGAGCCGCCTGTGTCCCCGGGGGCCGCCCCAGGGCAGCCTGAGGTTCTGGATGAGACAGTGCGTCCCTGCGGGGCTCTGGGCCCGGAGGGGTGGCCCATCCGCTGTCCTTTCAGGCAAGTGTGTGAAAGTCCAGCATGGACCGCCTATCGTGTGACCCCAGCCCACACGCGTTCGGGGCCCGTAGGAGTAGGAAGGTCAGCGTGGGTTCTCTCTCACCAATGCCAATTCTGCCTCCTGGTCGTCGGTCTGGTATCATCCGGCCCCACGTGAGCGGGTGGTGGACAGGCATGTCATCTCTGAGTCTGTGAATAAGGGACTGGCGTGGAGGGATGGGGGTTAGAGCACATGTGCTGGGTCCGTGCTGCTCCGACGCCCACTTATTTCCCATGAATTCTCAGCAGCCCTGGAAGGCACGTTGTTTTTCTCCTCCGAGTTGGGGCTGGTTCGTTCTCAGTGTGCTGGGGTTATTTCCTCGGGGGACCTTCCAAAAGTAGAATCGGGGCTGAAGGTGCAGCACGTCTGTGAGTCGGGGCACGAGTTCCAGAGGGACACCTTGCTTCACGGCACAGCCCCTGTGTGGGCTTTGTCCTAACACAGGGGTGCCCACCCCCAGCAGGCGCTGCCCGACCCCCCACTATGCCCCGTGCTGCACGGCTCTGTGGCAGGGACGGCGAAGCCCCCGGCTCGGGTGGGGGACCCCTACCCGTGGGCTGCAGCCACTTGTCACCAGGGCGGGCTTGGGAAGCCCCTGTGTCCCTGAGGCCCTCCCCAGCTCAGTGGCAACTCCCAGGTCCAACCTCGTGAATCGGGGTTTCACGTCTTAAAGCACCTTGGAGCTGTCCCAGCTGCACTTGACAGAGAGGGGCTTCCCTGGGGGGAGGCTATCCCTCCCACGCCAGAGGGGGGACAGGGTGCCCTCAACCTCCGGGCCCCCCCTGGAGCCCAAGCCCGGCCCCAGCCAGGGGGAGGAGGAACTGGCCCCCAGCGGCTCCTCCTCCCAGGGATTCTTCCCGAAGGAGCCCCCACCCCGGGGCCCGTAGCACCTGCTGAGCTGGCGCCCATCTGAATCCTAGTGGGTCCAGGTAATCCCCATGCTGGGGCCCATTTCCCGCCAGGTCTGTCCCACCTCGGCCTCCTGCGTCCATCACACGCCCCTGCCTCAGGTCCTGTGGCCTGGCCTGGGCCCCCAGCTGCTGCTGCTCGGCCCACCCCCACCCCCATCAGGGCCAGCGTGACCCCTTCACTGCCGAGGCCTGGTCAGGTCCGGGGCTGCTGGGTCATTGACGTCCATGCTGTTGGAGGGCCGCGTGGTGCAGGTCCTCGCGGCAGACACACGCTCCTCATTCGCCCAGCAGCCGTCCGCCCAGCCTCCATTTACTCAGCATCTAATGAGTTTACCATCTGAAAGGCCTGTGCGGAAGTGATAGTTGGGGACTTGGAAACGTCCGATTAGTGGCTGAAATTCCGTCGGATGCCAGAGCAAACATCTGTACTGGCCCAGGCCTGCGTGGTTCTCTCACCGCCGCTAGCCGGAAAGTGATGGACCACGTTTCTGCCCGCCCCGGGTCCAGGCCTAGCGACCCATCAGTACTGGGTTTCCCAGGCAGCACCTTGGGTTGTTGGGTGGCTTCTCTCGTTTTCCAGCGATGCAACTTTTAAGTAAAAAGAGACCTATAGGGCTTCCCTGGTGGCACAGTGGTTAAGATTCCACCTGCCGATGCAGGGGACATGGGTTTGAGCCCTGGTCCAGGAAGATCCCACATGCCACGGACTAAGCCCGTGCACCACAACTACTGAGCCTGCGCTCTAGAGCCGGCATGCCACAACTACTGAAGCCCGTGCACCTAGAGCCCGTGCTCTGGAACAAGAGAAGCCACAACAATGAGAAGCCTGCGTACCGCAACGAAGAGTAGCCCCCGCTCGCCGCAACTAGAGAAAACCCAGGCACAGCAAGAAGACCAACGCAACCTAAAATAAATTTATAAACAAACAAACAAAAGAGAAAGACCTGTTAAAGATTCCAGCAGTTACTTGATGTAAACAAATGTTGCAAAATGTTAAAAAAAAAAAAGTGGTGTTTCTGGTTAAGGGTTAGGTGGGAGTTCTCTGAAATTATTCTTGTAACTGTTCCTTAGGTTGGAAAGTGTTTCAAAGTAAAATGTTGAAAAAGACAACAAAAGATTCCATCCTATGGCTTGAGAACAGGCATTGCTTTTAGGTTATTTCCTATTTAGATTCTACATTTTTCTTGGCGGCAGGGCGCACAAGTGTTAGTTAACATTTCGAGTCACAGTGTATCTCAGATTTAAAACCCTTGGAAAGCATTCTTCTGCCTTGTTAAGCTGATCAGCTTTCTTTTTAAGAAAAATTTACAAAAATTTTAAGTGGATGTGTGGCTTTTTCTAGGGCCTTTGTAACGAAGTGCCACAAAGTGATGGCAGACACAACAGAAATGTGTCCCCTCTTAGCAAGGGCTCCAGGGCTGTGCTCCCTCTGGGGGCTCTGGGGGAGGGTCCTTCCTGCCTCTTCAGCTCTTGGGGCCCAGGCGCCCCTGGGCTTGTGGCCACGTCCTTCCCGTCTCTGTCTTCATCCCTCTGTGCATGTCTGTGTCCAGATGTCCCCCTTTGGTGACACATCAGACCCACTTGGGTTATGACCTCATCTTAACTTGGTTAAATCTGCCAAGATCCAATGCGACAATGAGATGGGGCAGGGCCAGGGAAAGACCCCGCAACCAGCCAGGTCGCGGGCTTTCTCTAGTTGTGGCGAGCGGGGGCTACTCTTTGTGGCGGAGCACAGTGTCTAGGCAGGCGGGCTTCAGTAGTTGAGGCTCACGGGCTCTAGAGTGCAGGCTTCAGTAGTTGTGGCTCACGGGCTCTAGAGTGCAGGCTTCAGTAGTTGTGGCTCATGGGCTCTAGGCAGGCAGGCTTCAGTAGTT